TAGATCAACAAATAAATGTGGACCGACTTACACAATACACAGAGTAAAATAACAAAAATAAAACATATGGCTGTATGAACACAGATCCCTACGCTTGCAAACAGAGGAAATAGTGCTCAGTCAATCTGACAAAAGTCAAATGTCACAATAATGCTATATCCACAGATTTAAGTTTTACAACGATAATGTGAAATAATTATCAAAACACGATCACAATACAAGGTATCGTGGTAACACAAAACTTAAAGCACTATAATGTAATAAGTGGAGTGAAGGAACATGAAGACAGTCAAAGATATGATTAAAGTACTTCATCCATATGTGCCCACCGGTCCGCATTATCAGTAACCAATCAAAACCAAAACAAATGAAAAGTGATAAAAAACAAATATTACTTCTTACTGATGCCTGTTAATATGCTGAATGAGAATGGAATTGAAACCTTAAAACTAAAACGATTCCTCAATTATATGGATCTTGAACAAGTGGTCACCGAGCCGACACACTTTACGGATCAATCACAGACACTGATTGATGTTGTTTGTACAAATTGTTGTATACAAAGCGTCGTGATTTCTCATATCTCAGGTCCAGTGGGTCATTGTATGGTGGATGTCTCTCTTTCGGTAAAGAAACCCAAGGTACAAACACGTGTAATGTCTTACAGACCCATTAAGCAACTCAATCTTGATAATTTCAATGTGGACTTGTTTTCAATAGATTGGAAGTCAGTGGAGTCTATTGATACGGTGGACGATATGGTGCATTGTTTCCAGCATTTGCTTCTATCTTTGTTCGACAAGCACGCTCCTTATAAGACTGTTAGAATTATGCCCGGAAAGTCTTTCCCTTGGATAATCAATACCATAAAATGTATGATGGACTTACGTAATAATGCTCTCAAGAAATATCGGGTTACCAGGTCGGAGGAGGATAAAATATCCTGGAAGAATTTGAAAAGGATGGTGGAAGTAAGCTTAGCGTCAGAGAAGCGTGCTTATTTTGATCATTTTGTGAACTCTGAGGATTGCAATAGCAAATCTTTTTGGAAAAGAGTAAAAGAAAACATTATTGTCGATCCGTGTCAGAATTGTGACCTTCCTGATTCTATCTGTGATCCAAACGCAATTAATTCCCATTTTCTGGATTTTCAGGGTGTTAATGGTGTATCCTCTACTTATGTAAGTTATTTTAAATCGTCTCGTTACGGCACTTCAGTGTTTAATTTGAGTCCTGTGACTGAGGGTGAGGTGGCGCAGTTTGTTCTTTCTTGTAAGTCCAATGCATGTGGTATCGATGGATTGAGTAGGGACATGGTCCTGTTAACACTGCCATGTACGCTAAGCGTAATAACGACCATTATTAATTTGTCCATTACTTCTGGCACCTTTCCTACCGGATGGAAGCATGCTATGGTAACGCCTCTTCCCAAGGTTAGTCATCCATCTGATTTGAGGGACCTTAGGCCAATTAGTATCCTGCCCTTTTTATCCAAAATTTTAGAAAAAGTAGTGTATGCGCAACTGTACAAATATCTTGATCGTAATGGAATTCTTCCTGCAATGCAGTCCGGTTTCCGTAGGAACCATGGCACATCTACCGCTTTACTGGACGTCGTTGATAATATTCTGTCTCAACAAGATGCCGGGTTTGGCACCATTCTCACGTTGCTAGATTATTCACGTGCCTTTGACAGTATTAATCTGCAACTTCTCTTGGCCAAGCTTGAGTACTATGGTTTGGATGGTCTGTCGGTGAGATGGTTCGGCAGCTATCTATTAGAGCGTTACCAGTCAGTCAAAATTAGTAGTCATGGTTATTCTCGTGTGTCGGATCCCAGGGAGGTATTACGTGGTGTTCCTCAGGGCTCAATTCTTGGGCCGCTGTTATTTATTATTTTTACAGTGGACATAGTTGGCGCTATCGAGCATTGTCACTACCACTGCTATGCGGATGATGTGCAACTTTATATATCTACACGTCCTGATTCAATACAGCGGGCTGTTTTGGAGATCAATAGTGATTTACAGAGGATCGTAAAATGGTCGGATGATAACGGGCTGCTTTTGAACCCCTTGAAGTCCAAATTTATGGTTATGGGTTCAAAGTCGCAGGTCACCACTATTATTCTCTCCAATCCCATCATATCTCTTGGGCACCAGACTGTGCAAAGGGTTGATGAGACGCGAAATCTTGGAGTACTATAAGACTCCCAACTGCGTTTTGAGACCCACGTTATAAATGTCGTCAAAAGCTGCATGTACCGTTTGAGGGTGCTTTATCGCGTTCGTAACTTCCTCAGCGAGAAGGCTCGTATTACACTATGCGAGTCTCTGGTGCTCTCGAGACTCAATTACGCGGATGTTGTGATTGGCCCTCGTCTTCTTTCCAGGACAAGCCAATTGATTCAGCGGGTACAAAATGCCTGCTGTAGATTTTGCTTCCACGTGCCTCCTCGTACACATGTTTCACCATTTTTAAACTCTGCTAACATACTCCGGATGGAATCTCGTAGACAATTACATCTTGCTTGTCTCGTGTTTAAGGTCATAAAACACCAGCAACCCAAATACTTGCATGATAAATTGAAGTTTTTTACTTCGAAACATGATATGAGGTCTGCCCGCTCTGCTCTTGCCTATTATCGTCATCGCACAGTGGCATTTAGAGGTAGTTTTCGTTTTCAGGCTACAAAGTGCTGGAATGATATACCGCCCCCACTAAAAGAGCTTACTTCAATATATACATTCAAAAAAAGATTTAAATCCAAGTTGCTCGAGCTTCAAATAAAGTATACTTGATAAGGTGTATGGTTGGTTGATCTCCTTTGACTACCTTGTAAGTTATAAGTAATTATATTTGTGATTTTATTGTTATAATTATTATTATTTGTATAAATTTATTATTCTTACTTTTTGACATTGACTGATGACATTTTAATTGTATTGTAATATTTTATGTCTATAATCTAATGTATGTTTTGATCATTTATGTTATTCTAATTCAAATTTTTCTTATTTCGACTTTATTAATGTATCTTGTATCTGACTTTTGCTATAGTTTTCTTTCTTATTGACGTCTATATTTGGTTTAATTGTTTTTTAATTTCTGCCCTGCTCACCTTGACTGGGTGATGGCTGAAAATCGGCGCTTCGCCCGTTCCTGGGTGATTTGAATGCGCTGAGCCTTGACCCTTTTCTAACTGCTACACACATGTACATCATGATTAATAATTTATTTGATTTAACTTTCTTTTTTGTGTGTTTCAAAACTTTTTAGATGTAATTGTGTGTAGTTATTAATAATAAACGTTTTATCTATCTATCTATCTATCTATGTAATTAAAACATTCAGACCTGAAACGATATAGAAAAATTCAATTTTCTACTTTGACCCGACTGGGAATCGAACCCGGGACCTAAGAGATGAAACACCTTGAAATCAGTATCCAAACCACTCGACTACGGAGTTCGTCTTAATATAAATATGTACATATATGACATTCTACCAAAGATAAGTCGTATGCTGACTTATTTTAGGTAAAAGCCCCAGCACTGGGGACATTAATTCATCAGCCATTTCCACCTGCTGGAGCCTAACCATGTATGTAAAAGAATCAAATAAGTCATGACCCATTACGCGGGCCCGTGCGGATTAGTGGGTGTTTAAAGGCTGCAGATGCAGCCTGGACCAATGGCTTTACGTACCTTCCGAAACAGAGGAGTTCGAGATGGTAAATTTTTGGTCACCCATCCCGTGAATGTTTAACATTTTTCATTTAAAAAACAGTATTGAACACTGAATGTAATTGATTCAATCCAATTTCAAGTAAATCGATTTAATATAGCAGATAAGAATGTTTGGACTTAACATGGTCCAGCAACTGGATAGGTGATTTCTTCTAAACTCATTATATCTCGAAAATTATCTTGTTTCTATTATTATTAAATTATTATGTTATCATTATAACATCATAGTTTTTTATACTCTTTTTTGCACTCAAAATTTTACATAAAAACAAGTACATAAATTTGTTACAAGGGTGGGCTAATCTGTAGAAGAGACTCTTCCAGCCAACCTAGGAGTCGTGAGAGAGTGAGATTTCTCTATATTTTTAATGTATTGATCTGGTAATGACATGGTTTTTGTGAATGTCATTACTCTTATTAGAGCTGGTGAGTTTCTTGCTCGTTCTTCTTATCGGCCAAAAGACGTCCTGAACGAGTGGTAGGGAAAAAATATTGGACGATGCAAAAGTACTTTTAAGAAGTCTATTTGAATAAAGATTATTTGTATTTTGAATATGATGTTAATGCATAATGACGTGGCCAGATCGTGGAATTGATCAATACATGATGTGGCCAGCTATTTTATAAATTAGTATTTCATGAAACGGCAAAAACTTGACATCCAAATCATGATGTGGTCCGGCTAGATCAATGACTATTCCGCGTTTAATGATATGAACGGCTGATCATGATTTACTGATCATATCGTAAAAATGTTAAATTAGTCTCCATTAAAGAGAAAGATGTCCTATCGTTTTGTGATAATCGTATCCATTTATATTAATTATATACCTTAACTTCAGTCGTTAACGCCCATCAGTCCGCACACGGCCCGCGTGGCCTTTTCCGCTATTCAAATGCCCTGTACCAACCACAAGTGAGACTTATTAGCTTGATGATTATTAAAGTTTGAATTTATTTTAATTAAATACAATGATTTAGCTAGTAAACTAATCAGTAATGTAATAAGTATCATGGTAAATCAGAGTAAATAAATTCATTTGCTCTTTATATAGATAAATTAAAAAAACTATCTGCCAAAGTAATGTTCTTATTTTAAAAATCGTTTAGATAGTGTATTTTGTCTACTAGCTATAAACTGGTTTCGTACGCCTATGTTGACGAAAAGAAGTGTCAGTTAATTACCAGTATTGTACGTTTTTTCCTTATTTCAACATACAAAGGAGGTGGGTGTTTTTAATGTTAAGTTTTAGAGTAAGCCGACCAGTCCAGCCGGGCGAACGCGAAGCGCGTTGATGGCCTTGCCAACTCTCATAAGGAAAATAAATAAATAAAAAGAACTTTACAAATAACATATACAACCTGTTTTGTGCGTCTCCGATTGATATTTCATAAGTTGTTTGTGGTAAATTTTTAAGAAATTTGAATTTCGAACTGAGGTAAGTGATTTTCTTTTTTTTTTTATTGGAACGAGGTCCGATGCTATTTATAGTTTTACTTTTTTATTGTCTATAAGTGCCGTACCATGGCTAATTTTGATGATTTTTATCTTTTTTTAAGTAGATAAATGTAGTTATAGAAAAAAATGTACAGTCAGTAAACATTTTAAAGATTTTTGTGATTTGTTTGTTTGTTATGAAACCGGAAAGTCCCTAGGCCACAGTATGAATAGTTATTATAATGATCAAAATACCTGTCTAGCAAGGTTATGAATACATTAATGTGTATCTAATAAGATAAAACTCGTCTTTTTACTCTGTTTTTTTAATCAACTAAAACAATTGAGGTACCTAGGCACCTACCCGTAATTTTCTGTTGCCAACCAGTTTTTTTAATATTTCGTCCATATTTTATTTATAGTAGATATGATATTAATCTAATTCATAGGTATGTTTTAATTTAACCTTTTTTATGTAGCGTCCAATCAGTTTCTTTGCAAACTACAACAATAGATCTTCTTGAAGATATTTTTTTAAATGTATATATTTATACATAAATCTATTTGTTTATTATTTTATGTATAACTGTTTTTTGTTTTTTTTTTTTTTTGTTTAGTACTTCTACTTTCTTTATCGCCATACATCTTGCTTCCTACTTTCTGTCTGGTAGACTGGTAGAGAATGCCCTTGGCATTAAGTCCGCCATTTGCTATTCCATGCAATAAAGATTAAATAAATAAATAAAATAAATAAATAAACTAAAGTGGTTATTACACTTGTTCTAACATTTTTAAGATGCTATTTGAATTCAGAAGAGATATTTAATAACGCTTTATTTAGGTATTTCGTCATAAACTATTATCTACATATAAGTACTGATATTATTATAATGAGGTAAGATTGGATTGATTGTTTGCATTGAGAGGCTTCGAAACTAATTGATCTATTTTAAAAATTATTTCACCTACGAGAAGGCACATACATCATACGCGGGTGACGTAGGCTATAATTTAATTTAATTATAACGGTCGAAGTCACGGGAGGACAGCTAGTCTTAGTTTTTTTAGCTTTTGCATGTGTTAAGTTATATTTTAAAGATAAAAGCATAATGATAGTGACTCAGGAAAGAGTAGTTTCAATAATATTTATGGGTTTACTATTTTGTTAAATCCTTTATTACCTTTTGAAGTAGGTAGGTTTAAATTATCTGAATCTCGAAGAACTGCGACAGCGCTGTGTTCTACGTTTAATGCTGTATCTTGAACAGAATAACACTGCTTTGCTTTTCAAGTCAAGGGGAAGCACAAAGACAATGCGTTTTATTTTTTAAGGTACTAGGCCGGTTTTAAAAATTGTATCTTCCACGGGAAGTTACATCATACCCAGGTGACATAGGCTATAATAGGGATGATGACTGGGTAAAAAAAATGCAATTCTATTTAGTCCGTCAGTCAGATAATAGGAAAATATTAGATACGTATTTTTTTTTACTTCAATTTAACAAGAAATAGCTTAGATAACAGGCATTAAAGTTGAGGAGTGAGGGCTCGCTACGTCACAGTTGAGTAGAAAACGTACTCTAACGTGACGTCATGCGAAATTTCAACTCCATGTAACGCCGTAATTTTATGATTACGAAAAAAATAAAAAAATACGTGTTTAATATTTTTTAACACTGACTGACGGACAAACAAACAAAAATTAGTCATCATCCCTATTAACGCGGGCGAGGTCTCGGGTAAAAGTTAGTATGAATTATGATCACAGAATGTAATTAAATATTATAATTTATATTTTATTACAGTTTGATAAACTATTTATTGAACCTGTCTGAAAAATAATAAACTTTATTTTGTTTATTCATGATTCTTGCAAATATTTTACATACTGGTTGCGAAACTCAGTTGTCATGGCGGCAAAATAATCCTTTGTCGGCAACTGGTTGAGTATAAAGAAAATAAATCTTCTGTTACAACTAGTTGCCAAGAAGGAATCAAAGTCTTTTTTTACAACTGGTTGTGAAACTCAATTGCCAGGGCGGCCGAAAGAGTGAATTCTATGGGATTATATTAATTTACAAATAGCTAATTCTACTAACAACAATATGTAAAGGACAGTGCTGTGTATTGTACCGATATTCGAAGAACTTGCCAAAACAACTTTACTCATTGTAAAGTTGTTTAGGCAAGTTCTTCGAATATCTCACCTATTGCAAATATTATTCACACTCCAATATTTATCCTCTTTTCAACATTGCTTTATAGCCAGTAAATCTATGTCACTATTTTAAAGACGACTCATTTTTTTTCAAAGCCGTATTAAGCAATTAAAGTATATCTGTTTATTTCTTAATACCGTTTTTTCGAAGGCTTTATTATGGTTTTAAATTTCCCGCTAATACGATAGAAATCAATGTTTCAGTTTAATAGATCATCATTCTTCCTTATATCTGCCTGGTGTTCCACAGGGTTCACGTTTAGGACCATAACATTTTACGATGTTTTTCAGTAACTAAGCACAACGTGTCACTTATTTCTTTTGGTCTATGCGAAATTATTCCATATGGTTAAAAACACTCAGAATTATCTAAAGATATAACGTTTATTCTGTTAACTGTTTTTTTTTTCTATAGGATGTCCATTTATTTTTATTAACACTATGAATATTTTTGATTAGCAATATTACAAATAAAAGTTACCTATAATACTACCATAATACATAAATAATACTACCTATAATAATACCTATAAAATTTTACTTATTTTCCTTTTTGATACTAATTTTGATATTTAAATTATTGCTATTCTATTTTTTGGTGTTTTTTATTCAAGTTAATATTTCCAACTTCAAAGCTAAATATTATTACTTTATTTATTATCTACGTAAACAAGTATTACACATATCTTTTATATTTAGAAAACCTAAAAAAAATTAAATATTTATTTCTAACCTTTAATTTTCTTAATCATTGAATAACTTAATAGCCTGTAGTTTTTAATTTTAAACGAAACAACGCGATACAATTTTTAATCCTGGTTTTTTAGAAGGTTACTTACCCGGTTCTGCTGAAGTTGCTTCAGCGATCGACCACCATGATGCCTCAGGCCTCCTAGGGATCGATAGTTTGTCAAGACTTACCTCGGAAACTCAAGTAAACCCTACCACACCACTTAGTCGATAGTCCAACCCAAGTAAACTTGCAGCAAACCAGTTTCACATCACTATTTATTAATATTTAAATGTGTTTTTTCAACATTAATTCACGACAAAATAGAAATTGGAGCGATACGAAAACGAGTCTATGAAAAATCCAACCAACTTTTAATACGAAAAACAAAAAGTTAAACGCAAAAAAAGGAATCAGTTTTTGTGGTTTATACATTAAAAAAAATGTGGCCAGGACAAACCTTTAAATTCGGTACGATTCTAAACAATCATAGATATTAAAATCACGTATATCAATGCACAGTTTTTTTTTAAATCACATGTGTTTGATATCGCCTTAGAGTGGCTTATAAATAAAGATTTTATTTTCCATTACAAATCATTTTTTAATTCTAATTCGACACATGGTTATGGCTAATAAGTAACAATTTAATAGTTAAGAGTCGTTCCGCCATTTCGTGCAAAACGCACATTCTCACGGAACGAAAAATAATGTTAATATTCGACAAAATTGTACTATATTCTGAATAAAACACCCGTAATCGATTATCATTACATATAATTATTTATATCGACGCTAGAAAGTAAACACGTAGTAACCTGCAAAACTAAAATGGATATATAGAGTGGAAAATCTTTATATTTAAAAAAAAAATATATATATATATCTTCTTTCCGTAAAAAATTGACTAAAGAACACCTTATTTGTTACCATGGACGTTTATAGGAATTATTTATCGAAAAAATAAAAGTTTTTCTTGCTTTAAAGAAGAATTTTGCCGTATTTAGATCTTTTGAAACGCCACATAAAGGTGTTGAATATAATTGTTGGTGTTTTTTAAATATTTTGATATTGATAGATGTACAATATACACGTAAAAAAACTGATTATAATTTGAATATTTCATTTTCCTGCCTCTTTTTTACCATCCTCAATCTTTTCAATACCATAATGACAAATTTCATTGCCATCCAGTGGCTTATCATCATCACGCTTATTTATCAATAAGTTTAATAACCCGCAAAACCAAAAGTGTTCTCCAGAGCAGAAAACCTTTTAATTTTTTCGATAAATAATTCCTATAAATGTTGGTAACAAATAAGATGTTCCTTAGTCAATTAATACGGAAAGAAGATATTTTTTCATGGAAAAATATAAACATTTTCCACTGTAAATATCCAATTTGGTTTAACAGGTTACTACGACAAAATAAAATTAAATCACATTTCAACGTAATAATAAACGTTTTTATTAAACTCTTAATAAGCGTAAAAAGTTAAACTACCTTTAATATTCAAATCAGTGAATAACTTCAGAAATACATTTATATTCTATTTCAGTCTGGACCTTATGCGGCGTTTGAAACTAATCAATTTAGCGTAGAATTAACTAATGAACGGAGCATAATTCTTATTTATTCTTAATCATAATCAAAATAAATCACACATCGATATAATAAGAAACCCATATATCAGAATGTTAATAGGTATGAAACATTTCAAAATTTTATTATTGTGAATTTTAAACTTTTAACTTTACGTTTACCTGCTTCACTCGTAGTAAATAATTTAAAAATTGGCTTCCAAAACTCATTTAATTATCAAATCAGATAGCTTTCAAAATACTTCGTACTTTGCATCCGAAAATAAGCTGAAGTTAGCATTTATGAAGATTCTTAAGTAACGAAATGAAATGAAAATATCTTTATTCAAGTAGGCTATTACAGGCACTTTTGAATCGTGCAGAAAATTTTTGTCCCCTTCCACTTGTTCAGGACGTCTTTAAGTTGACAAGAAGAACAAGCGAAAGAAACTTACCAGCTCTTTATCATAAGTGTAATGCGCGCAATTGTTTTATGAACTATGGTAACAATAAAGAAAATTCCAAAAATAGACTGCTTTAAATTGATATTTGGGGTACCCGTATTATTTACTAATTAATATGAGATCGCGAAGCTTCTAACTTGCACCAATATCTGATGATTAATTTCTATTTATAATCGTAGACGTCAGGCAAATTGTTAAAAATATACTGCCCTCTTCTAGTACATATTGCATCTCTTTTATTACACGGCATTCAGACAGTGTCCTCATCTGATAAGGAACTATCACCCAGTTGTATGTTGCTTGAGATTGATCAACTACCATATTATAGAAATTAGGGATATAAAGGCCTAGGGCATAATTGTTTTGAGGTATATCAACCATCATTATAATGAATAATGCCAAATTCGGCCTTAATTTAATGAATATTACACAACAGCTAGCACAAATTGTAACGTATTGTCACCCACGTATGTTGTAACTTGCTTTAAATGAAATATTTTTTATAATCGATCGAGTAGTTTGTATACATCGTTTCATACAATAAAACAAATCTTTCTTCTTTCTAATATTTATAGAGGTAATAGATTAGATGAACCATATGCTTAAATTTTTGTGAATGAATAACTCATTATTTTTAAATATTTCCTTTCAGAAATGCTAAAATATTTCTCATTCGTCGTTCTTCTCGCGACGGTCCATTGTCAGAACAACAATGGCGATTTGGAGTCGATACTGTCACAAATCTTCGGGACTCCCCCACCGGGCGGTGACGCCGCCAACCCTGGCGGGAAAGAACCGGTCGTTACACCAATACCTACAGACAACAAGAACCAGGGACCAGTGACGGCATCAACATTGGTACCCAGTGTATCATCCAATGCAGGAGAAGGTGAGAACATCTATAAAACGACCTCTGCAGACGAGTGGTTCACACGCTTGTGGCGGTGGCGCCATCTTTAAGTTCTCGGGTTTGATTCCCGGTCAGGCCAATGCAGAAAATGGACTGAATTTTCTATAGCATTGTGCATTGTTATAGCATAGCGTTGTCTCAGATACTCCATAATCTGAACAATGTATGTGCGTTGTTATCTTATTATTTATTTATGTATTTTATTTTGTTTATTATTTGTTTGCGTATTATTATCAATATGCACACGTCAAATTTAATTTAGTTATTCACTTTTATTGCTACTACCATTGACTTCAACGTTAAAGTCCAGGCTGTTTTATAACAGAATAGTAGATACGGTGTCGAGTTTAGAAACTCATAAAAGTTAAAATATTAGTCTATGTCTACTAATATTAAAAATATGTTAAAGTAAAACAAAAATTAATTAAAAATATATTATAGTTTTATTTTTAAAGGGTAATATTTGAAAATACGGTCAGGAAAATACTCGCTCCTACGGGAAACTAACACGTGTGTGATTAATATCCCATTTTTACTAATCTAGTATAAGGCATTCCTTAATTAGGCAACGCCTAATCTTACGAATCGCCATAGATTAGTTTAATTCCAAATAAACACTTTTTTCCTTTTATCTCTAGGCAGATTTGTGACTTGTCATGTTACGTAAACGCCTAATAGCGCATGTCATTACTTTGCTTATTTCGTTAAGTGGTTCCTAATTATAAGTGAAATGCATTCACCTTAGGCGATTCCTAAATATTTCGGCGACTCCTAAGTTTAATGAAATCGGGCGCAAGGCTACAATTTACGCGGATGAAGTCAAAGTTAAACGACTAGTATTAGTTAAATATCCTTTTAACGTAGTTTTAAATGTATTGGAGTTACCTACATGTATTATTTTAATGTGATAGAAATACATTCTTAAATGTGATATAATATCAGTGGTCTCTAGAGGTCATTGTGTGACCTCTCGCGATAAACCTTTTATTTTGTTGATAAACAATATAACAGACTGGAAAGTAGAAGTAAAGCGTTGGCAGTTCAATGAAACTTGGCGTCCAAATCTAACTCCGAAACGCCGCTCATAAAACAACCACAATAAAATAAAAGACTAATGTAGATACAGAGATTATAAAGTGTAATTTTGCCAATGACAAAAGCAACACCATAGGTACTGCTGGTTTAAATGTTTTATACTTTTGAATAATGCAGATATGGACTCGTGTTCAAAGCAAAAGTCAATTTCTTAATGGTTATGTATTTTTAAGGTTCAAATAATTAGAGTAAGCGTTATCTAATCGGTTACCATGTCATACCGCCGCTCATTTTAAACGAATAAACAAAAATATGAATCTAGAAAGAACTGTCAATAAGTGAATAGTGAATTAGCTCGAATTATCTATTGGCAGTTCTTACTTCATCCAAATTCTTGTTTATTTGTTTAATGTAATATTTGCTTAAGTTATAACTTATACTTATTCATATGTAATACTTCTACTCGACTATAGATGCAAGCTTTAATACTCTGCAATCGAACAAAAAGCAAACAAATGTCATTGTCAAACTGACATTACAGGGGTTTGGAACATTTTCTCATATGCTCTAGTTATAATTTTTGTTGAATATATGTTTGAATTATTGCAAGTATATAGGTATCGTGTAGAATAAACAATGAAAATATGTTCTTTTAAAAATATAGCAAAAAAAAAGTTTAGTGCCATAAAATTAACTTTTCCTCGAACAAGTCAATTAGTTTACAATAAAAAATTGATATTATTGTATTTTTATTAATTTCATTTATGTTTTGCAGTTGATACATCTTGCAGAACGGAAAAAGGTGAAGTAGGAGAATGCGTGCGGTACTTCCTGTGCAATAACAACAATAACACAATTAATACAGATGGATTTGGCATTATTGACATACGGTATGTAGAATATGTTATAAAAAATAATATTTATCTACACTCAAATCGAAAAATTCAAAGACGATTCTATACATACGCACTTTATAAACGCATATACATAAAATTAAAAATAAAACTCATTATAGTACCGCCAACTGTATCATAATAGTTGTTTAAGATACGAGTGCGGAAAGTAAGGTTTTACGAATAAGGGCCAAATTCGAAAAACCTTTTACGCTCAAGTTTCTTACAACATTTTTCAATGCTTTTTGCGAGGAAATAAAACAAATAAATAGGTTAATAAAACTGAGTATGTATTAAAGGTAAAAATTATTTGTTAAAATTAAACGTGATATTTGAACATGTTTTCGTGTCATACACTTTTATTTGAGAATATTCATTCTAGGCTCCTTGAAATACTTTTGCCTCTAAAGTTTGACATATTTTCATAATTTTTTTTAATTATTTCTTTGGTGCTCGGCCAAAAAAAATTAAAGAAATACTTTTAAGCACGTGTGCAGTAAAGGATTTCAGTACATTTTTATTTAACACGTGTTTAAAGACTCACTTTCGGTGTTTACAATGGATTAAAAAAATAGCGCTTTATGAGCAACTGCATTGAAAAACTCATTATAGTACCGCTACCTTTTTTTATTCATTAAACTAGTCTATGGTTTTAGGCTGAATATGAAAAAAAAGGCGCACGTATCCGCAGTTCGAACTGTGAAAAAATGGCGCACACATAAATCACTTCCTTGTAACCTACCTATTTTGTTTAATTTCAAGTTTTCCTATGAGCGAAGATAAAGTAGTGTATGAAACTGCATATAACTTGGGTATTAAAACACTCGAGTCAACCTATTATCGCATTCGGCTTCAAGTCATGCACAGACTCTCGTGCTTTAATACCCATTCTAATAAGACAGTTGCATAAATTACTATTATACCTATATAAAGTTTTATTATGCGAGCCAAATAAATTTTCGATTGCTACCAACTTCACGATTTAGAATAGAATAATTCTTTATTGTACAAAAACACCAATTATAGGTAACAATAATATAGAACAGATAGTACAATCGGCGGCCTTATCGCTAATAAGCAATTTCTTCCAGGCAACCGTTACCGTTTGGAAAATTTTAATTTAAATCTAAATTAGGTAGTCTATGGTGTCTTAAACGTACATACATAATTATCATACATACTATAGCTATAAATATCTTACATACTATAACTGGGTATAATGTAAAAGTTCATAATGACAGATGGTACTCCTTTACTAGATTTTTGAAACTATGTTGAAATACCGTTTGCGCACGTCTTATATTTTCGGGCAATGCATTCCAGAGATGGGCAGCTTGCACTATAAAAGCTGTCATTTCAGTACTGAGTCCAAAGAAAATTATGTTCGATAAATATTTTTTGGATTAACTTTATACATGTGTATTATTGGGTATTATCATGACTCATGACATGACTTTATCAAGACCTAATAAAGTATATTTTTTAAATTATTCTCTAACTCTTTTTTATCGCTAAATATGAAGTTGATAATTTTTTTCCAACGTTGACGGTCATCTTAAACGTGTCGCCATTTTATGCCGTAATCCGTTATATCATATTTAGGGTTGCCATATGGTCGGGATTGGAATGGATTGTCTCGAGTCCCGAAAAAGAATGAAATGTTCCTTAAAATGTCGAGTCGAATAATTGATAAAAATCATAAATCTATCAACCACTCACTCAGTAACGGCTGAAACAACTTAGATATACACTGGACCGCAAAGAAAACGGGTCGGTTAGAAAATCTTCAATAACTTGAAAACTACCTCACCTAGCTTTATGAAATAAAAACTCAATTAAAGAATATTTAATGTTATTTAACATAGTATATAAAACCTTTTTATTTACTTTAGATAATTGTGTAAGAAAACTGGCAATGAAGATAATGGTTGTTTTTCAATTTAGTTCTAAAAAAATCAAAGCATTTGTTTCCCATTTGTTTTAGTTTTGACATAAAAACTACAATAAATATCGTGTGTTTGTCATACAAAAATTGTATTCTGAAGTCATCATGTCGTTAACCCCTGAAGAATGCACCAGGATCCTGACAATGCTTGAAGATGGGCGCAGTCAGCGCAATACAGCGAGAACTGTTGGTGTGAGTCTTTCCACAGTTCAGCGGGTACTCCAGCGTTTCCATGAAACTGGATCCAACCTAAGAAGATCAGGAACAGGCCGAACGAGGTGCACTACTGCGCGGGAGGATCGCTATATGGTGTCAACAATTTTAAGAAATCGATTTCTTACGGCCGTTGAGGTAAAAAATCACCATTTACGAGCTGGAGGAAACTATCTGAGTACAGAAACAGTAAGGCGACGTCTGGCTGAAGCAAATTTGAGACCATTAAGGCCTGCAAATGGCCCAAAATTAGAAAGACACCACTTAAACTCAAGGCTGAGTTATAGCAGAGAACACGAAACTTGGACTCTGGATGACTGGTCAAGAGTTATGTTTTCAGACGAGTCTAGATTCTGTTTATACAAGCACGATGGGAGGAAAAGAGTGTACCGAAGACCGGGAGAGCGCTATAACCAAGCTTGTATAGAAGAAAAAGTACCATATGGCGGTGGCTCTATACACGTGTGGGCTGGGATTTCTTCCGAAAGCCGTCGTACTGAGCTAGTAGTGATAGAAAATGGCAGTTTAACAGCAGAACGATATGTGAATGAAATTCTTAATGACTATGTTGGTCCATTTTTAGTAGATATGGGCGAAAATGCTGTTTTTATGCAAGACAACGCCCGCCCGCATACAGCTCAGATAGTGTTCGACTATTTTCACGAAGTAGGTATCACATGCATGGAGTGGCCAGCACGAAGCCCCGACTTAAACCCCATCGAACATGCATGGGACGAACTGGGACGACGTGTACGTCAACGGAATCCGCCGCCAATCACGCTGCGTGAATTGAAAGCTTTGATCGAGGAAAGGCAGAACATTCCGCAGCATCGCCTTAAAAACCTTGTGGAAGGTATGCCGAATCGCATAGCCGCAGTTTTGCAAGCTCGTGGAGACAACACGAAATACTAACATGCGTAAAAACGTCACATCTTTATACAATTCATATTTACGAAAATGTCAGAAAAACTACCTTTTTCATTCATTTGACATTTATTGAAAATAGACAACTTTTAAAAATAGACAAAATTGTATTTTTTACATAATTATCACGCATACATGATGATCAGCTACCTATCTATTATTTATCGTAAATGCTTTCAGTTAAAACAAAAATCGTTTTAATAAACTTTAAAGGCTACTTTTTTTTAATAAATCCGTACTATTTATTTATTGAGATTTGTTTATTTGATATGTCTATTTTTTTATAAAGGTTGTCAACCCAACGATGCGACGCAACGCGCATTTTTTCGATAGATGCGACGCAACGCGCATTTTTTAAATTATATCTTTATTATAGAATTATTGTTTTTTATGGAATTGCTATCATCTCCCTCTTTGGTTGTATTTTAACCTTGCTAATAATAATAGGAATAATTTAAAACAGACAAAGTCCCTGAAGGGTTGTTTTGTAGATGAGAAGTACCCCCTACCTAGGCTTCAGCTAAAAAGATTAAAACAAAATGATGCTTAAACAAACTTTATTTTATCTTTCAGGGGGTAGGTTAGCTATGATTCTTTTAATTAAATTTAGAGGAGTTAGCTTTAATGTAGAATTAGGGGATTTAGTGTCGAGTTCGCGGTGTTAGGTTGTCATGGGCCGGGCAGCGGCTGGCGAGGTTAGATTCGACGTCAGTTTCGGTCTGCAACACTGGTGAATCACAAGGACTCGATGTACGATACAGAGTAGCGCGGGTGAGGCGGGCTCCGATGGAAGAACCCGTTATTTAGCACAAACTAAAAAATATTTCAAAATCGAGAGGTCGTTTATATACTATTTCACCATTATGAGCCGCGCTGCGCTCCCAAGTCTGCCTACCTCCATAGAACAATTGTTACCAATGTACCTACAATTTTTTTAATTGATTTGATTATTTTTCTTTAAATTAATTTGTATCAAAAAGGAATTAATCACATCAGCTAAACATGCAAAAGAGAGACCGTTTATTTAGTAAACTGTTACACCCAGTATCGAATAACAAAAGAATATTCTTGACTCAACTGTAAAAAATATAATTTGATATTAAAAACTAGTAAGTACTAATTGGATTCGTCACCATTTCCTACTGTATGTTTTATTGTTCCTCCATATAATAGATATGGATGTTAAATCACCGTCTGACAAGCGTAAAATTAATTGTTGCCGGATGTTAAAAAGTCTAAAAACGTAATGTAATAATTGCACAAAACGTACATTGTAATAGAGAAGTCCAATTATACTTATCGATAATTCCCTTAGGTATCGAATATAGTAAATATTTTTACCCATTGTACTTTTAATGTTATGTTCGTTACTGCCAATCAGGGATTGCCAAAATAGTCGATATCAACCCCATGGGGTCGATATTGGTTTCCTAAGATTCGATTCAAAAAAACAATGATTTTAATGGTCAAAGACGTCTATTAATCAACCTCAATTAATTAATAGACAAGTTTTCATTTGGAATTTTCAAGGACACTATATAAGTTAACTTACGTGTATCAACATGTTAAAAAAATAACTACGCTTGAATATTTAGGAGAAACTTAGGAAAAAGATACTATAAGTTTTGAGAAGCTATTGTTATATAGCAAATAAATAACATGGTTTAATAATGACCATTCAAAAATTATCATTGGAAACTAATTTACGAATTAAATTATGCACAAAGTAAATTTATATAAAAACTATAAAAATTATTACAATAACTACATCTTTTCCTCTTATGCTGGGTGTTAGTTACAGGAAGCGCATTGGATGACTAAAACTGTTTTACATATCTTTTGCTAAATTATCATTAATATTATGATTTTCCTTATTTAATGTTTGTGGTAATAAATTTGCATTTATTCTATGTCTGCTCATTTGTTTTGCTCCTTACGCATGACTTAAAAACAAGCTTTCGTAAACAATGTAATATAACGCTATGATGTCATAAACTTTAACCATTATGAAAGTAATGGAGTATCACATAATAAGCTTCTCTCCTGAATATTATTCTACCTAATATTACATTTACCTAATATATTTTTTCAGTATTCGTGATGGCCCCTGTGAGTCATACTTAGACTCCTGTTGTCTATTGCCTGACCAAAGACCTCCCGAAGACCCGATCACTCCTAAACCACCGCCAAAAGAAGAACAGGTATGTTTATAAAATGACCTTATAGTTTTACAAACGCCGTCAAAAAGTTTTGTATAAACTCATAAAATATGGATAGCTCTTTTGGCGGTTTTCTTAAGATTGTAGCCATCGAGAAATTCTAGAATTTAGACAAGTCTCTATAACGGCTCCAAACCCAAACCAAATAATTCAGCTATGTGTATTACAGAAATTGGAAACAATTATGTTAAAATATATCATTCCCCCCTCAATTTTGAACTCCACTGTCTAGTTTTATAGATGAAAATTAGTTGAATAGAGACATTTTTATTGACCAACATAACCTCATATTAGAAAAAAATATAGTTAGATACATTTGTCAGAAATTTCAATGTCACTAATATAAATATTTACAAAATTTAGATTCAACATAGCATTCTGAATAAAATATTGATAAATAAATATAATAAATGTATTTCCATCTTTAAACTATAAATATCAATCCTAATAATATATTCATATAGGAAATATTTTTATCGATAACGTTCCAACACTAAATGAAAGGTCATCGAGTGCGCAACGCCGAGGGTCATTCGCAATTTGTTTTTGCTCATGCGTAAATAATGATGTATTGTACACAATGCACGCCTATTTTATTCTATACATGGAATTAGTCTCGTTCAGCTTATTTTATTGGCATTTTATGGCACTGTATTGAATTCTTAGAACTTGTTAAAGCAATTAAAAAAACATTTTGTGTTGTATATGTATCAAGTTTTCCTTATTATATGTACCGTGTTATGTTACTGTAATCAATCAGTTTTAAATGTAGGTGTTGGCAAGGATTTATGTCTAATTTATGTCTTTATAGCAAACTATCAGTTAAAGACGTCCTAAATTTTACCTATTTTTAAAGTATTTATAACCCTACAGCCCGAAATGTGACACATATGGTATACATGCCAAATTATTGGCTATATATCGTAACACTACGCTATTTCACGCAATCATACATAATATTATTCTGTTTAATTTAGAAAAATCGTTCATTGTAGGGTTAAAATTAACTGCTTTTATTTACAATGAATACCTTTTACCTTTCGCAATCCGAGCGATTGCTCTAACCAATGAACTACTCAGGATCTAACAAATTAATCATTTTATATAGCGTGAGGGATGCGGGTGGAGGAACCCACGAGGAGTCGGGTTCCGTACGACAGGTGATGTCGACAGTGAGTCCAAATTCGGCGAATTCCCGTGGATGGTCGCCATTTTGAAGTGAGTGTTTTACTTCTTTTTTTAAATGGTATTTTTTTGTAAACTAAGCAATAGGACCGCATCCTGCTGCGGTCCTATTGCGGTATATGATACCTATGATATTTTGAAATCTGTTTTAGTCTATAAAACAAATCTATTTTTGTATTTTTGTTACAACCGAGGTACGTAATTACGAATATATAAAACTTTTTTTGGTGCGATTTTTAAGAATTGAATTTTTAATTTGAAATATATGTTATCGTAAGGTATATCTTTAAATATGTATTTTTATGAGACGTTACCTTGTCAAGTACAAGAACTACTTATAATTAGAATAGACTTGTAATATTGAAATGCAATTATAAACTAAACAGACATATCTCTTTGTTCTGGCTAGTCTCCGGAATGGCTGGACCGATTTTGATGGAACTCTCACTGGCTGATTACTTATGTAACAAAGGGTAACTTAGGCTACTTTCCACGCGGACGAAGTCTTGGGTACAGCTAGTATTAAAATATAAAAAAATATCTTTCATCAGAATTGAGCCAGTGAGTGCTACGGACCTCGATGGCCAACAGCTGAATGTATACGTCGGCGGCGGCTCCCTGATCCACCCGAGCGTCGTCCTGACCACCGCCCACTACGTGGCCAAAGCCAACAAACTCAGAGTACGAGCCGGTGAATGGGACACGCAAACCACAAAAGAAATATACCCTTACCAAGATAGAGACGTGGGCACTGTCGAAATACACAAGGACTTCAATGGAGGTAAGATTATCTATTTTTCTAAATGACTGATCAATGAATGAATGAATGAACGAATGAATTAATGAAGAACGAATGAATGAACGAACGAATGGATGAAATATGCTTTACTATACACCAATACAGGACAAAACAAATGGATATAATCAATTAAACTGAACAATTGGCGGCCTTATTTCCAAAACAGTAATTACATCCAAGCAACCTTTTTTTTACAGGGAAAAATATATATAGTTTTTTAGTTCTGATTGATATTAGGAATTCGTGATAGAAATGATTACAATATGAAGACGTCGTCCAACGAAAATTCGGAATACTTGAAGTCGTTCTTGTAAATGAAAAATTCTTGAAAAATCCACCAGCCGCAGGTGACCCAAGATGGGACTCGAACCCATAACCTTTCGCAATCCGGACAAATGTTCTAACCACTGAGCTACCCAGGACCAATTGTGGCGCGTTTGTTAGGCAACGTAATGGCCGATGATAGGATGGCTGACCAAAAATTATTATATCCAACACTTCCGTGCTTTGGATGGTACGTTAAGACGTTTGTACCGGCTACATTTGCAGTTGTTAATACCCGCATTAGGTCTGCGTGGAGAGTTATAGCTCATCCTACTTAACCACCTATAAGGAACCCCTGCAGTGGGGACATAAGAAGGATGATAATATAAACGGTACGAAGCGCGCCGAAGTTTCAAATAATGTTGATTTGTTTATCAGGTAACCTGTTCTACGATATCGCGTTGTTGTTCCTGACTAAGCCTATGGATTTGGCGCCCAACGTGGGAGTGGCCTGTTTGCCCCCACCCAAGCAGAAGGCAAGGCCAGGCACTAGATGTTTTGCCACTGGCTGGGGAAAGGATAAATTCGGCAAGGAAGGTCGCTACCAAGTCATATTGAAAAAGGTTAGTGGAGACAAGATCGCTTCTTAACCTGTCTAAAAAAGGAGGTTATCAATTCAAAGAATGGCTTAATATTCTATGTTGGTCTCTATGGGCTTCTAAACACCTTTGAAGTTGCTTTATTTTCGTAAACGTAGTCCGACCGCACTAAATACCTCTGACTTTGGTTCTATTGTGTAGGACCGTAGACAATGTAGTACTTTTTAATAAAGATTGTTGTTCTCAGTTTGAACAGTCTCTAAAAAATTATCTCATAACACAGATCGAGTTGCCAGTGGTAGCACATAGATCATGCAGGGATCTCCTGAGGAAGACAAGGCTTGGTAAATTCTTCGAGCTTCACACCACATTCATGTGCGCCGGTGGAGAAGCTGGCAAGGATACGTGCAAGGGAGACGGTGGATCACCTCTCGTCTGCCCTATAGAGGTGAGCAATAAAAAAGTCATCATAACCTAAGAGATCGTGACAAAAATGTGCTAGAGCTATCTAAAGCTTATGATTTTAGCGAGTCGCTCTCACGCACGAATGGTTCCGTGCCGTTATCGGTTCCATTATCTGTGAAAACAGCAAAATAATCATCACGTTTGTTGTCTGACTGCCCCCTGCCGGTGGAATCCTTGCTGGATCCAGGACTTACTCCCCCGCCCAATGAGTGTATACCAAAAAAAGGGGGGCCCTTAGAATATTTATTTTATCCGCTTTTTTAGTATAGTGGCAACAGAAATACGTCATCTGTGAAAATTTCGACTGTCTAACTTTCACGGTTCATGAGAAACAGCCTGGTGACAGACAGACAGACACACAGCGAAGTCTTATACTAATAGGGTCCCGTTTTACCCTTTGGGTACGGACTTCTCACTTCACTTCTGTATAAAGGTTGGCAAAGTTGTTGTCAACAGTTATGATATATATTTTGTCACAGTTCCAGGATGAAAGGTACGTACAGAACGGTATGGTGGCTTGGGGTATTGGATGTGGAGAAGATGGCACTCCAGGCGTTTACGTGGACGTATCGGTACTGCGCGACTGGATCGACGACAAAGTCGCGGGACAAGGATATGACCCGAATGTGTACTCCAGATATTAGTTGCGAGTTCGCGTTTTAACTTTTTTCAAGGTCATTGTTTCTCAAACTCTTCCGCTTCGGACCCCTACAGTCTATTTATAGTGCACGTAAAAAACGGGCATTGTCTCAAAATATTATGTGAGAGTTTGCAAGTAAACAATATATATCGCTATCTATAGAACTGTGTATCGATTACGCGTAGTATCGATACACAGTTCTATGGGTAGCGATACGTATGGCTAACGACCTATAGCGTCTATAGCGACGTATCGTTTAATTTCATCTTTCACATTGTACTTTGGTTCGGGCCCGCTTTGGCCTGCACTAGGAAAGGACTAAAGATCACAATTTACGTTATAATTTTGTGGATGTTGCGTTTATTTCGATCAAAACAAGCCTAATATCAAAGACCACCGTACGGTATAAAATAGAAAGAACTTGATTATTTTATTCGTTTTCGGTGATTCGAAGGTTTGAGAAACAGTGGCATGTTTTGATTTAATTGAAATATGGTTTTTTTATGAATTTCCTCTGTTATGATTTGAATTCAATTTATTAAATGTGTACAGACATTATCGATATAATTATTATAATAAAGATTGGACAAATTAAATTGTATTTACCTAATATCGAAAGCTTTTTTATACTTGTAAACATTTTTATGAACACTCATTCACTCATATGTGCCAATTTGTATTTTATAATGATTGATAATTAAACAGTTTGTGACAAAAAGTTTGTTTTTATTTTTATATTTGTAGCTTAATTTAATAACATATAGTCAATAATTCGGTCCCAATGTTAATATTTTTTTCTAAGAATAGAATTACATAGAAATCATTCAGAAGCAAATAGAACTAAGGTCAATGTACCTTTGGAAATAATAAACATTTTTGGTCACCCATCTCACCATAAGCGTCTCCAAAAGTTCCTTAACCTTTAAAATCGAATAAATTATATTATCATTACCCATAGACATCAATGATTTGCATATCTGATACAGATATGCAAATCATTGATGAGACTGAGTATCAGTTTTAAACGACTTATTTTAATGATTCTTATTTTAATAGCCAGACTTAGTAGTCTTTATCAAATTCAGATAATAAAAGTAAATTAATGTTAATTTTACTTGTATACATGCTATAAGTCATGAAAAATAGAGTTTTTTTTATTTTTTATTTTTTTTATACTTTTTATTGCGATCTATCACTTAACGGACATTTAGCAATAGTTTAATATCGTTTCATTTACAATTCTTTATGTGGTATCAAGTCCAGTGACTTGGCCACTTCAATAGTGTACACAGATTTGTGAAAGTTATTTATGTGCACAAGTCCAGTGGAGACTTCCGTTTCAATCTGGAAAACACAATTCTTGGCCTAGAGAGCTCTGTTGCAAGTTCATTTTTATGATTTTGTAAGCGGTTTCTATATTTGGGCATTCTATCTCTAATTTCTTGCTTTATCTTCTTGTCTTTGTGTAGTCGCTCATTAGTTATGTACCAAGGTGCATCTACTATAGTTCGCAGAACCTTCGATTGAAATCTCTGTAGTATTTCTAAATTTGAGTTCGCAGATGTACCCCATAGTTGGATTCCGTATGTCCAAGTTGGCTTTATGATGCATTTATAAATAAGTAATTTATTTTCCAGTGATAGCTTTGATGTTCTGCATATCATGCAATAATATTTACGAAACTGTATGCTGAGTGCCTTGCGCTTTGCAAAAATGTGCCTCCTCCAGGTGAGTCTTCGATCCAGATGCAATACAAGGTACCTAGCCTCTTGAGCAGGAGGTATAATGATACCGTTTAGAGTAACGGGTGGACAAGAAGCTTTTCGAAGTGTATAAGTAACATGAACAGACTTTGCTTCATTCACCTTAATGCGCCATTTTTTTAGCCAAGATGAGACTCTATCAAGGCTTGTCTGGAGTAATCTAGAGGCTATATTGGCATCGTTGCTCACAGCAAGAAGTGCGGTATCGTCAGCGTATGTTCCTACTTTTACCCCGTTAGTGGTTGGTAAATCTGCAGTAAATAGAAGGTAAAGTGTTGGGCCTAGGACACTGCCCTGAGGAACTCCAGCATGCATTTCCTGGAGGCCAGAAATATCCTCGCCACATCTAACAAAGAACCGACGTTCATCCAAGTAAGACTTCAATAACAGAAAATAGTTTACAGGCAGCGTCTCCCGTATCTTGAAAAGAAGGCCGTCATGCCAGACCCGATCAAACGCTTGCGATATGTCCAAGAATGCTGCAGAACAGTATTCCTTTTTTTCGAAACAATCGTGTATATCACTAACGAGTCTGTGAATTTGCTCGATTGTACCGTGTCCATGTCTAAAACCGAACTGGTGATTTGGGATCAGCATGCCCTCCTTTATGATTGGGTTTAATATATATACTAGTGGCTATAAGTCATGAAAAATAGAGATAAGATCGAAGAAAACACATAAAGCTACATGTGTAATGATAAGCAAAAGCTCATCAAGAGTTTGCTTTAACAACCTACTGATTGTCAGCTTTGTCCCATTTTAGTATTAATGGCGAACTAAAGTACATATTTTTTTATTATTACCATTATATTAAATTATTTATTATTTATTACTGATAATGTGTTTTGAACTTGAGTTTGCTTGTCCATTATCGGCACGTAAGTAATAATAAGATTAATGAACGTATTTTAATCAAGTGCTCCCACAGGGGTCAATATTTAGTCTCATTATTTTTATCGTATAAAAAATTAGACCAAGTATTAACCCGTGGAGCACTTGATAGTTTTGAATGCATATGAAAAATCTAAGGGAAAGACCTTATACTTCGCTAATATATACCCGACAAGAATTAACTGTTTAAGTAGAAAAAGAGTAGATCATGTCATATTGTCGAAAATAATATGTTCCATTGTTTCCTTTCACAAATAATTTTTCAGTGTTATTAATAAACTACGTTTAGCGTTAGAGTAAATTTGCGCTGAGACTGCACTTAGTATTAGTCAAAATTCATATTATTAAACAGAGACTTGGCAAAGGTTAACCTAGTACGAGGTTCTAGGTGAGTAATATTTACTCCTAGAAGGTACTAGGTTTACGTTTAACTTTTGGTTTTGTCAACTCCAATTACCGTCAAATTAACGATATACATTAAATGATTTTTTTTTCAAAGAAAAGTCGCGATCGCAATCGCTGTATCAAATTGAAATGAGGCCCGGGATTATTTCCACGTGTCCCCGACTGAACAATTCGTTGTCTAGAGAGAGGATTCATTGAAATACTGAAGTTTCGTTATGCCATTTATTTTATGGTAACAGTCAAATCTTGTGCTAGAAAATATATATATGGCGGCGGGTAGTCTGGAAGGGGCTATTACGAAGCCCAAATAGATAGTCCTTATCGGAGGGCTATCTTTAAAATAACAATGCAGGCGTGTATACCAACGTAGATTTGTTCCATTTTATCACTTTTCACACGAAAATATAACGAGATGAGCGTGATGTCGTCAGATGTCTTTACTCCTCGGCGATCGGAAACAGAATGTGTACCAAAATGGCGGCAACTTGGTTTTTATAAACGAACTGTCAAAGTCAGTGTCACCATTCTAATAAAATTAAAAGTATCGATGATCACGCTCTCTTTACAATCGAGTAATTAAGTAATCGAGTAACTAGCAATTAAAATAAAAGAAACTCAATCAAACGATCTTCGTAATGATGATGCGAAACGGCCATTCTGGGAGACGGTGCGTGCTCTGCGCCAGTCCCGTTTCAGTAACAAAAAAGAAGAGCTTTTCTGAGCTAGGTATCTGTAAACCTAGGCATTTGAGAATTTTGATTTGAACAAGATTTCGGCCATCATTTTTTTTAAACATCAAACTCATTACTAACGGGTATATTATCACAATTGTTATAAAAACGGTAGTTAAGTAGCTTAGGAAAGGTTTAGGAAATTTTAGGAAATTGTTTAGGAAAATGAGCTGTTTTATCAAGTATATTTGGTCAATGCAAATGCTCCACGCATAATTGCATTGATTATTGTACTCGTAGCAAGTGTGATGCTGTGGTCATGAGCGGTCCTGTACGCCATGATCCACAGTAGCTCAAAAGGAGATGGGGAAAGGTCGATGCTGGGGTCTGGGTCTTACATGAGACCGTGGTCCCCAGAGGCTCTAAAGGAAACGGGAAGGACGAAGCTAGGGTCTGGGCCTTATTTATGACCGTGGTCCCCAGAGGCTCTGTGAAACGACTTAAAAGTTGGAAAGTTCATAGGATGAGATTTATACAGTCTTTTCTCAAGAAATTTTTGATTGTTGAATTGAACTTTCATGAAAATGTTATCTCTCTATCAAATTGCGGGAAATATAGAGTGCCTAACAATACCACTAACCATTTACTAGGCATCTAATTGATGTGCAGCGCGGTAGATGCTTTTTTCGGTCAGTCCTGACTTTAACTAAAGCAAGATTTTGAAACCAATCGAAACTTTAATAATTGGAGACCGTTTTTACTTTAAGTTTCTTTAGTAATAAGAATTTAAGAGTTAATAAAATCCTATCATCAAATCTTATTTACAATGAAATTATTCATAAACAACAAACTGGTTTGAGAACCTCGATTGCACCACTTAACCAGCAATGCAATCACACTTTTTCAATCTTATTTTCACTTAACTAGTGATTTTAAGAGTGTTACTCATTCGATTGCCATGAATTCTTCACGATATTAATTACTTTATAAGGGAGCACTCGACTCCAGTATCATAACAAAATGAAAACGACTCACCAAAATACTGCAAAATACTAGCAAGGGTAGCAATGATGCAGACGTCTACACGTCGCTCACTAACAATGTCAGCCATCAGGTTACTTCATTACTCGATTGTAAAGAGAGCGTGATCATCGATACTTTTAATTTTATTAGAATGGTGACACTGACTTTGACAGTTCGTTTATAAAAACCAAGTTGCCGCCATTTTGGCACACATTCTGTTTCCGATCGCCGAGGAGTAAAAACATCCGATGACATCACGCTCATCTCGTTATATTTTCGTATGAAAAGTGATAAATGGAACAAAACCACGTTGGTATACCACGCCTGCAGTGTTATTTTAAAGATAGTCCTCCGATATGGACGATCTATTTGGGCTTCGTAATAGCCCCTTCGGACTACCCGCCGTTATATATATATATATTTAAATCATCAAGAAATACGATCATACCGCAATTCAAAATGACAGTGCGATATCTGTTATACAAAATTGAAACTAATTTATCTATAAATATTTATGTACTAATTATTTTATATTGTTATGGTACATATATGTATCTCTTGTTATTGTTTATTATAATGGAATACATTTTTTATCTATTTATATTTTATTAATGTAGGACATGAACATTGACGAAAAGAAATATGTATCTGTTATTATTACTGTGGAGGATGCAAATGACAGTCTTTGGAGAGTACGAAAAAGGCATGCATCTATATAATTCTTACTCGCTTAAGTGGCATTTGGTCGATTGCACTTAGCTACTATTATAACGCGTTATTAAGCCTAACAATTCAATGTTCTATCGTTGCCCCTTCCACTCTATGCGGGGGCGAGGTTGCGGGGGGTGCTCCCGTTGCTGCCGCCCGTGTCGTTAGGGTTGCCAGATAGTGACAATAATCACAGTCGGGACAAAAAAATACTAATAACAATCCACTTTTTATTAATTAAATTTTTAAATT